AGCATCTCTTCCATTTCTTTGCTCCCTTGAGCCATCTGCTTTAGCCACATGGAACCAGAATTCTCTGAACCTCCAAGTCTTTTCATTTACACCTCACTGCCTGGAATTTTTAACAGCGGCTACCCACCATACACATATCTGTGCTTACCTGGTTATTCTTTCCATCTCTTGAGTATCTCCATTTCTGTGTCACACCTCCCAAGACTCTCCTTTCTTTAGTCTGTCCAACTTCCCATGAGCAGAAAGAACCAACCACTGCCTTCTAGTGACGCCAATGTAACTTAAACATAATGTTCCAAATGACAATGCATTTTCTCATTATTTGTTTATGTGAAGGACTCTCCAGTCAGCATGTAGGCTGCTTGAGGACAGAGTGTGTTTTCTAAGTCCACATCACCAGAGATTAGATCCTGACTCATAGAGAACAGCCCTGTAGATACTGAATGAACGGGAGACAAAAAGAAATATCCTAGCTCCACTTGATATTGGAAGATAACTGCCTGAGGGGCTACAAAACCAAAAGATAAGTAATTAACTTATCGTGTCAGAAATCAAGTTTTCCTTTTATCCTTCAACAACTTACTATGGATTTAGGGACAGGGCTGTAATAACACAAACAATAGTCACCATTTTTTAGCCCTAGTTAAGAGCCAGGGATCGGCCTAAGGACTTCACACTATAGTGAGTATCTTTGCATTTGTCTGTGATATGCCTCCCTTCTTCTGTCAGTGCACCACCTCCCACCTCCCGACACCCTGACCCACCACACACACCCCCAAATAAACCTCTTCTTCTGAAGTCTCGCTCTTCCCTCTGCTTCAATTCTGTTCTTCTAACTGGGGTTTCCAATTGCACTACCCACGCCATGGGGATCTGTGACCACACCCAGGTCCATAAGGATTCTTCTTTGTGATCTTTAAAATTGAAACTGAGGGAAAACAAGCACCTTGCTCTCAAAAGTGCCTCATGGATGAAGCAGATTACAAGGAATAATTTTAGTCAGAATGGAAAGAGTGAAAAGATGAGCGTCATTGTTCCAGATCCTGGTTCCAGCTGTTACTTAAGTCAGAACATTCTCCTACCATCACTGAAGCCGCGGTCCACTTGTGGAAAGCAAAATGCTATCACTTGCAAAGAAACCTTCTATCCTGCAACAGAAGCAGTGCCCATTATCTCACTGAATCCTCCCGACAACTATGTGCAGCAGGGATTATCTTTATTTTAGAGATAAGGAACCAGAAGCTCAGAACAGACCCGAAACATGCCCAAGGCATCCAATTAGGTAGTTGATCTGTGATTCAAAGATGGGTCATTCCGGTGCCAACATGCAACCACTCCGCTTTTCTGCTTCTTTCTACACTATTCTTTAGGCTTCCTGAACACTGATTGGAGCTCAGTGACCCCAGACAACATCCAGTAAGTGTAAGTCTTCTCTTCATTAATAAACATAGATGTTATTGATCTTGATTAACTCCCAGGGGTGTAACAGGTTTCAATTAAGTAACCTTGATAAAGCGCTCTAAGCATATAAATTATCAGATGCTATTTTTTATGCCACACTATGAAACATTCACCTCTTGCAGTGTTAATAATTGGGAAGCAGAAATTGAGTTCTTTTTAAGAAGTAGTCTTAAAAACACTGTGCATAAATATTTGGTATCAGTAATTTAATTGAATGTTAATATGCTTGCTTTGGACACCAAAAGATAACCGGTATTTCCAGAAGTGGGTTTCCTCAAAAGACTATAAGTTAAAGCAAAAGACAAAGCATTTGTAGAAAATTGAATCTTTCTACGTTTGTATATGTCCTTTTTCTCAGTTAGATTTTTAATTGGTATTTCTTTGATCTCCACACTTGCTTATAGATCTAGCACAACCGTGATCTCAGGGGTCAATTATTGACATGAATCTGAGAAGAACCATGAACTTAGAAGCAGAAAAACAGGCACAGTTAAACCAAAGGAAGATGGATTTGTATGTGAAACCAATTTTCCTCAGAAGAAAAACAGATACTTCCCTCAACATCAGGGTGTACTCAGATTTGTTTTCCATATTAGTAACTTATTTAATATGGCAGTGGGCAAAAGGCAATCCATTAAAAAGCAATTTTCCTCTTACCACAAGGTGTTTTATCATTCGATGTCTAGCACTCAATCAGAATGTGGCAATCCTTTAATATTTTATGAGCAGAGAACAACTCATTTGGGCATGTAGACTCTAGAAACGTGGAGTCCTCTGTAATCCTTGCAAAATGTCCAGAATGACCTTTGCAGTGCAAGCAATAGGCCAACCTGAAAACTCAAACTATCAAAACACTGGAAAAATTATGCCTTAGAATAGATAATGGGCATTTAAAATAAATATGCCATCACTTATAACTAATAGTAGAAGATATTAGTCCCAAATCATTCTTACACTTTCTCAAGTGCAAGTTTATTGGGGACAGGGACCGTATCTGATTGACCTTTGTATCTGCGATGCCCATCATAACCTCTGGCACACTGTAAGTGATCAATAGATTTTTATTAAACAGATGAATGCATACATCTGTCATCTTGGACAAAGGGAGCTTGCCATGAGTATGCCAGGCCCTAGGTGACCAAGGCCAACCTCACTGCCGAGATGGGCCTGACCAGGTACTAAATGATCTGTAGCAGAAGGCTGGAACCTTCTCTGCAGCAGAAGGTGAGATATGGAATAATCTACGGTGCAAGCACGGCATATGGGATACCCCCAGAGATCCCCAAAGTATTCCCACTCCTCATCTCAGCCCCTAGGAATGAGGTTCTGTCCTGTTCCTGGTTTCATACCAGGTTCTCAACAGTCTGGAAGGGTGGCTCTGTACCTGCCAGGGGTCATTCCCTATTCTGCACCCACCCTCCCTCCTGCGAAGCACAGAGCTGCCACTCACCTGAGCAGCACTGTCTGCTCAGACTCCTGTCACCACAGCTTCCCCATCCCCCTGTCCACCAAATAGGGTCCCCTGACATGGATGAGAGTCTGAATCAGATCCACATTTGTCCTGCCCACACACAGCCTAGAACTTGGCCCTCTTTTCTGAGTTAGTCTCCCTAGGCTGAATATGATCTGTTCCCTGGGTCCTTATCTGTGACAAGCCAAAATGAACACAGGTCCTCAAATACTACCAGTCTACCTCTGGGGGAAATGTGGAGGTGTAGGAGCACAGCGAAGTCTGTGAGTACATTACCCAAGGACACGAAGGTCCTACGTGGCAGAGACAGAACCCAGCTGCCCTTTAGTCCCAGCATCCTCCCTCGGCTCCTCCATCTCTGTTCTGTGTTAACCTGTAGCATCCTAGATACATGTCGGCTGGGCAAAGGAAAAGAGCAGAGGCTGGGTATAATGGTAAAGCATGAAAGAATCCACCTCCTGCTGCCATCAAGATGAAAACTGATAGCCCAAAGCAGGCCACAGGGAGGGGGGCAACATGGGGAAAAAAACAAAACAAAGCAAAGACAGGACAAGGTCCTGTCAGGACCTTGCCAGGTAGAGCATGACTGCAGTCCAGCTTCTGAAAACCTTAGGTGCTCTTGTAACGCTTCTCAGCAAGTGACTTCCTGTAGCGCCCCCCCCCATAAAATCAACCCAAACACGAAACAGTCACAGTCATCAGACTGAGGAATTCTGTAGGATCTGCCTGATTCAGGACTTTAATCCTTCAACCGAATAAACAGTAAGCTCGGAGGCAGGCATAAATCTCAACAAGTTAGTCTGATGCAGAGCAGGAGGGGGGCGGGGTCAAGGATCCAGGTAAATGGAGATGTTAACCTCGGTGATCCGTGAACCAGAGCGGACTGACACAGACCTCTCTCAGATCAGGCTGCTACTCTTTCCATGCCGAGATGCCCTAATTTGGGCTCCCAAGGAATGAACTTCCATGGCAGTTCCATGTTGGCTTATCTTCTTCTCCCCATTCACCTGCCCTGGAGGAGGGTAACAGTTGGCTGTGCTTGGACAAACAGACTCAAATTCTTAGCATTTCCTCACAGCGTTCTCCATTTCCTTGTTTACCTGAGCAGTACCTGGAGTCAGTTCTTACAATGTAGGTGAAGCACGACCCCCTTTCCAACAATCATCGGATTCCTTTCCATTTATCATTTCAGACCATTATTTTAAGCTCTCAAGCAGGTAACTGAATATCTATGCCTTCACCACATTACCATACACCCAACATCTCTCACCCAATGTCCTTCTCTGGCGCCCAAGTGATTAAGCCTACAAGGGAAGATGTGTACATGCGTCAGCTGTGGAGATGTTGGAGGGGAGGGAAGTCAGCCACTTTAAGGAGGTTTGGTGCTGACAGTGACTGCAGGCCAGGTTAAATCCGATGCATCCTAACAGGTTCAACCCAAATTCTACCAATGAACAAAAGGCAGGAATATCATTATGCCCTCTTTTTTTCTGGGGGTCCCCTCCTAAATTTTATAATAAAAGTAAGAAACAGAGCAATAAGCTTATTTTTGACCACATTTCTCATGATCAACTACCCATTTTCTTCTATAATGCCTTCTTGCTTAGAGAAAGCATTCTAAGCAAGTGAGATCCTGGGAGCAAGAGGATCTTATTAAGGTATTCAATTTCTCTTCGTAGAGAAAAATGGTTTCAAAAGAAAGAAGAGAAAATGATCCTCTGATAGGTTAAAAAATTGGATTTTTTTAAAAGCAGCCATAGATCTCTTTCCTTAACAGATTACTAAGCACAGGGCTGTTTTTAACATATTCTCACGTTTATAATATCGGAAATTTAGTCATATTACCTGCCAATTTCCCCATTCTTGTAGATTTAAAGAACGGTTATTCCCAGAACAAATATGCAGAAATACACACATGGAAACCTGAACCAAAGAATGCTGGGTCCACGGGGATGCCCAGGCATAGCTCGCCAGCCCCTCGGGAATTCTTCGTGTAGGTCCAGGCACAGCCCCGGAAGTGGGGTGCCTGCCAAGCATCAGGCCCATGCGGGAACCAGGTGTTACTTACGCAGCTCGCCCACTTTCAGGATCTCACACAGCATCTTGGTCAGCTCTATACTACTGCGGCCAAACGGACACTCATGCTTGTCTTCCCGGCTACTATTCTCAAGCACAATCTGCAAGAGGAAAGAACAAACAGGTCGGAAAGGGAAATCAGTTTGTGGAACATGTCAAAAATGTTGACTCTGTGGTAACAGAGAAACAGAGCCACTTCAGATTACCAGACTAAGGCTTGGGGCCAAAACAAAATTGTACTCCACTTATATTCTCAGTATACAGCGCCTAAAACTCTCACGTTTTCCAAATATCCTAAAACTTTCCATCCTCTAAGAGGGTTATTTTGCTTGTTGGTTTACACTTACACAGAAGTGCCTATGGATGGAGAGTTTTTCAAAACAGGACAATAAAGACCATTTACTGAAGTGGTAAGACTGCTCTCTTTCCCCCAGTCACAACTTCCCTTTCCTGGGGGGTAGCAGCTCTTCTGCGCCCTCAACTCCCACATTTTTTTGTCACACATCTCCCACAGAGTTTCTGTGTTCTTACAAGATCTCACCCCTGGCATTAGTTTGAAATTTTTGTTTGTCTGAAAGAGAGAGAGACAGAGAAAGACAGAGCGAGTGAGTGGGGGTGTGAGGGGCAGAGGGAGGAAGGATCTTAAGCAGTCTCCACGCCCAGCTCAGAGTCCAACACAGGGCTCACTATCACCACCCCGAGATCATGATCTGAGCCAAAATCAAGAGTCAGACACTTAAGTGACTGAGCCACCCAGGGGCCCCAATCCTCCATGTTAACTAACTGGAGCATGCCTAAGGGACACGTGACACAAAGAGAACCAATCAGAGTTCCTCCCTGAGACTTATCCTACAAAAAGGGAAAATAAAATGGCCCAACTGTGCAGACAGTACCCAAGAGCTACGAGTGCAGGAGCTATCCGAATGCGAGCTTGCAATTAAAAAAAAGAAAGAAAGAAAGAAAGAAAGAAAAGCAAGCCCACGTGCAAAGGAAAGCAGAGAGGAGAGGCAGCGGGAGCCTTGGCAGCGCTCCAAGTGGCTGGAGTGGCTGGTCCCACTTGTTCCTAGAGCAAAGCTCTTACTTGCTCAACCCTTCCCCCGAAAACTGTTCGGCTGGTCCGGTAACTTCTCCTCTACCCTTAAGATAGTTTGAGATTTTCCCACCACAATTAAGGGAGCCATTGTACACGTGGATTAAACAAAAGTAAAACAATAAAACTCTGTTTTAAAGACACTGAACTTCAAAATCAGATGGCGACAAAAGGAAAAACCAGCTTCCACTGAGGAAGACAGATGAAACCATAGAAAATTACAGTTTATCACAAGTCCTGTGAAAAAGAAATTTAACTCACTGAGGTGCTAAAGGGCAAGGGGGAAGGCCTGGGGAGGAGAGTTTTGATAACCAAGTGACTGCTGGAAATCGAGGATGCAAAAGAGAGTGCCATGTCAAGGTCCAGGAGGAAGAAGGTTCCAGGTATAGGGATCAAGGACAGTGCCCCTGAGCTGAGTAGGACGTGTGAGGGACAGGCCAGCACACTGCCCAGTCTATAACGCAAAGGAGCCTGGGGTGGTGCAGGGCAGCACTTGGGGCTCCAAGAGCCTGAAGGGGAGAGCAGAGGTGAGCCAGAGCCCCTGCCCCAGGACTGCGTGGGTTATCATTCTAAGACCTTGAGACGCTAACCATGAGGTTTAGGCAGGCAAGTAACATGAATGACACAGCCTGATTTGTTTTGAAAAGATCTATGAGTACAGAGAACAGAGAACAGGGAGGAAGAAAGAAAGGAGAGCCTGGGCAGCATCCCTGGCAGAGATGAGGGCGGCTCAGAGAGGGCCTGCCTGGGGCATCTAGTGTGTGGTCACAGAAAGGTAAGACATAGAGGCAGACAAGGAATGATGAGGACAAGGAGGGGAAGGCTTTTAGAAAAGTGAGAGAAAAGAAAGAATACTTGGAAGGAGAGAAGAAAAGAGGGAAGAAAGAAAACTACACAGAAGTGCTATCTTATTGATATGGACAGGGTTCCCAACAGCATGGTGGTGTGAGGGAGCTGAGTATCATCTGCATTGTTTAAAACCAAAGGAGGAGGATCCTAACAAAAATGTGCTCCAACCATTTTCCGCACAAACAGTGTAACACACGTCTATACATATGTTACTATATGCACTCACAGTACCCCAGGAACACATTAACTGTTTGAGGCTATTTCTGCCAGCACTGCATTAACACCGAGCACGGTTTGCTCATTCAATCTCCTCTTCCACTTCCGCCATGAGCAGTTTTCACAGCCGTCCCCATTACCCCTTTACCCCCTCATCATGGTCCAAGAAGTTGATGAACCATCCCATTTTGTAAGACTTTTCAACCATGTGGAACATATGCTCACATAAATAATTATGTCTTGAATATCACCAGGAACATAACCTTATTGTCCTTGGGATTTACAATAAAAAAAATTCTCCTTGCGGTCTTTTTATGGAACGCATGTTATGAGTGGATTGTTTTTTCTCTGAGAAAGCTGAATGTAAACTCCAACTAAATCCCTTCTCCAGCCGAGCAAGGAAGGACCAGTGTGAGAGGCTTTGAAAGGCTTGTTTCCTCTTCACTGTCTCTTCCGGGCAAGCTGCCTGAGCACGAAGACTCATGAGGTTGAGCCTGAATCACCCTCTTCCTTCTAGGGGAATTCTTCCTAGTTCTAACCAGGAATTCCAGTTCAAGAAAGCAGGAGGGGAGAACAACTCCATTCCCATCAATCAGGGAATCTTTCCCTTTTAAAAATGTTGTATCTGGAACAGCTACCCCATATATCAAGGCGCAAATCCAAATCTCCTGATGGCGGGGGAATGAATGGAAACAATGGAGCAAGAAGAAGACTGAACATAAAGAGAAGACAGAAGACAGGTAGCTTTCAGCCAGCAACCAGCTCCCACTGAGGACATTCCCCTGCATTTCACATTAACACTCTATTAACATTTCATGAGCACATCAATATTTAATGAGGATGTGATCTGCATACACCGTAGATAGAATTACTGCAGCCAATAAACGTTCCGGAAACATTTCCAAGGCACTGTTTATTAGCAGGCACTAAATTAAGGAGTAATTTAAGCAATCAATATGGAAATCAGCTCTGAGAAGCCCTTCTCTTTACTCTTTAACGTACCATCCATCTTACCATATTTACCCTCCTAAAGAAAAACAAACCCTCCTTCTTGAGCGGTGTCTTTAAACAAGGCGGACACAAGTCTTTAAAGTTACCTGTGTGGATTTTAAGGTCTACATTCCTGCAAAAGAGACTATGATTATGAACCTTACTAATAAGGTATTACTAGAGTGAGAGAGAATTCTTAAACGAGATGGTAGCTTTTTTGCTTTAAAATTAACACGCTGATCTATCTGTAGTCAATTTCAACATTCTGGTATTAACCATGTTCACGGGTGGCATTTTGAAAAGTTCCATGTGAAAATATCAAGGCATATTTTCCCATCTTCATTTTTTCCTCACTCTTTAGTTTTAAGAACAAACATACTTGAACAGAAACCATTGATGGATGAAGCACAAAAACCTGCTATTATCACTCATCTTAGAATATGCCATACCCCAGAAGAAGTTATAACCAGCTGCATGTCTTATGAAATAAAACACTGGATACTGGTGCCATATTAAGTACAAAATCTGTTTTAAATACTCTCTGATTTGCAGGGTATATTTATATAACTTCTATTAACTGATCCCCAACAAAGTCCAAATGCTTGATAAGTCAGGCATTACTATTATTCTCTTTAAAATGTGGGCACAAGAGGAAGAGTAGACTTACTTGTATCACACATTGACCTAGCCTAGGTCATTCATGGAATTTCATTGTTATGTCCTCAATTTCCAAATCTCTTCCTGTGAAGATGTCCTTCCCATACCATATTGTCATAAAATTCAATGGATTTCATGACTAAAGAAGCTAAGGAACTTTGATCAATTTCTTCTATCTCATTGAAGTGGGTCTATAAATCCCAGTTCCTCCTAGACAAAAGTACAAGGTTCTCTCTTATCTCATTCATCCCGTGAAGATCAGTAACAATTGCTTAAGGTGAGTGACCCAATGCTGCATGGGGTAGCCCACAGGGTGTCCCTCCCTAAATTCTGAGTACCCCTCTGAGTGCTCTGCATTTCTTCTTCTCCACCGGTTCAGATGACCAACCTATTTGGCTTGGATGTTGATAGGCCAACTACAAGGCCAGCTACACGTTGGCACTCAACCCTTCTCTGACTCCTGGGGCCACCCTCAGCATCACATGGCTGACTTCTTCATCTGCTTGTCCCTGACATGTGTTCCTCCGCATTCTGTTGAGCTCTCCTCTTCCAGGGCAAGCCCAATCCATTCTGTCTTCCCTGTGGCCAGCCCTGGGCTGAGAGCCTTGAGAGCCTCTTCCACTGCCTCTCACCCAGGAAGCCTTCCTTCACATGCTGCTTTGACTCTCAGAGTCAGATCAAGCCTAGAGGTCTCTTCACAGGCCACCAAAGACATTGTGTGAACTTCTACTGTGTTCTCTCCAAGAGAAGGAACTGTCCGTCTTGCTCCACTTCCAAGCATAGCTCAGCATAGCTGCTAGGACAAGCATCGAACTGAGAGCACCTGGGCAAAACTAGTTTCACGTGCACAAAGCACCCCACCTCTTTGTGAGCTACACAGAAGTTTCAGAGAGCTCACTTCCTAGGACCGTGGTGCAAATTGAATCAGAAAACAAAGGCAAAATGCCTAAACCAGACTTGACCTACTTGGGGTTTATGATCTCTTCACCACCCTCCCTCTTCTTATTCCTGTGTGACCCCGAGGCCGACATCCACACAAGGCTTTCACCAGCAACTAAACCAAAATCATGACTGCAGGGACACTGGCCCTCTGGGGGCCACTGGTAAGCAAGCCAGAGGCTCTCACGTTGTTTCAGCAGGAGAACCACATAAATAAAGAAGGGTCCTCACTTGCCTACACCAAAACTGCAGACAGGAAGCCCCTGTGCTCATGTTCAAGTGGGAGTCTTCCCGGGAATACATGTTGGTTCAAGTGCAGGAATGAGCAAGGAGCCTGAAGAACCAGTCACGGTCCGCCGA